GTATTTATTTATTTAGCAAACTTATATGGCCACTATTGACAAGTTACATGGGGTTCAGGCAAGCTGGCAGGCCTGTGGTAGCCCCCATTCCATAGAAAATTCTTTCCCCAAAAGTACACTTTGTTGATGTCCTGGAAACAATTTAAATCAGTTTCATTTCAACAAGACTTTGGCCCAGTTCATGATGGGGGCTACCTATCTTGGGTTTTATCCCTTAATTATCCCTACATCATCCAGATCCTTTGGGACTGAGGTAGATTATAAGTACAATTAATTAACTGATTTGTGCCAAGTCAACAATTGGCAACCAAAGCAGACCTTTCAGTACAGGCATCATATCATCCCTATCTCGTGCACCTAGCAGCCCCATATTACACTTGCTATAATCTCTATACACTCTTCAAGGAGAGCTCCACAAACAGCACATTGGAGTAGTCAAGACAGTGCCATGACTGATCTAGGATCTCAAATATAAAATTACCATCATGACAGCATAAGGAGCTGATATGCCATTATACCGTGATGTGTCTATACTTACAAAGATCAGAATCATGCAAGTCCTGTGACATTCTATGAAAACAAAAGTTGGACTTTCAAGGAGCAGGATAGGAAGAGTTTTGACGCCTTTGAACTTTGGTGTTGGAGAAGACTCCTGAGAATACTGTGGATGGCCAAGAAAACAAACCAATGGACCATCAAACAAATCATCCCAGAGTTCTCACTCGAGGCACCAATGACCAGGCTGAAATTATCCTACTTCTGACACATTCTGCAAAGACCAAGCTCTCTGGAGAAGGCTCAAATGTTGGGAAAGATGGAAGGAAAGAGAAAAAGAGGATGACCAACAGCAAGGGGGATGGACTCAGTTACAGTGGCGATGAGTGCACTGTTAGAAGACCTCAAATAACAGGTTTATGGACAAATCATCATGGAGAAAATCTATCTTGCTAGGAATCAAAAACAACTTGATGCCACATAATTAAAGCCACTATGACAATTGCTTAAGCAACACCAGCAATTGAAATCCTTTATCTTTTTTATTATAATGCTAGTGACAACACACACACACACACATTCTAAGTTCCATGCTAATTGTAGGTGTGTGTTTTGTGGTAGCTTAGAGCACCACAATGCTTCTAAGTGTTTAAAACTGAACTGAGAATCCAAGGGGAAGGAGGAACAGAACGGAATATCCTGAAAAATGCATGGTTGATCGCTGGCAATCTGAGTACCACACAACCACATTTTTATTTGTTTTCTGCTGATCTCAATCATGCAAATCAAATAAGCAAGTAGCTTTTCTTTTCCTCAGACTGAATTGCAGGAGCCTGGATTAAATGCTGACCATCAAACACTGAGTATGAAATCAATGAACCACAGACTGTAGCACTGATGGCAAGGGGTCCCGGGATGAAGAATGAGAAGCTGTATTCAGTTTAACATTAAACAAACTCAAAGTCCAACCCTCATTACTTCCCAACTGCACCTTTAATTCAATAATGTTCTCCTGCTGGTGACACTGACTCCTTTTCAACCGTCTGAGACCTTCCTCCAGAGGCTCCAGAGATGCCTTCAGCTGGTCCTAAAGGGAAGAGAAAATCAAATCTCGCTCAAAATGAACATGATTTTGAAGACAGCAGAACTGGATGGAAGAAGTGTCATACATAAAGATTGAAGATGTTCATGAAGACGGCTTGCATTGCTGCATTCAAGGACTTGGTTCACTGGATTTTCTTATGCATATTCAGACACAGCATTAACGTGGCAACCATCAACACCAAAGGGGCCCAACCTGAGGACCCCCAGAAGTCTCGATTGCAACCCCAAGCACCTCCAAAAGGGTACTGCTACATTGTAATTTCTAATGGAATAGAAATAGAAATAGAAATATTTTCTATTACCTAGAAAATAGTTATACTAACTCTACTTAATTAATCAAAGTTAGGGTTGCTTTTTTCTGGGCATCCCCGATTCTTTGTCCTGCCTCATTGACTTGTTTTTAATATGGAGCCTGATACTCCATCCAAACCCCTGGAAAAAGAATTTGTAGAAAGCAAATTTGTGGGTGCATGTGAGTGTTCCTGACAAGAGAAATCTAGTCTGAGTAAGGATTTTTAAGTTTTACAGAAACTTCCTAACAGTAAAAGCAGTTCTACAGTGGAACCAGTGGCCCAGAATGGTGATAGGTTTGCCTTCCTTGATGTGTTCAAGATGAGCTGGATAGACACCTGCTAGGGATGCTTTAATTGAGGTATTTCTGGTCTGAAGAAAGGGTTGGATTCCATGGCTTTTATCTAAGTTTAATTTAAATTAATTTTATTAATTTTATTTCCAACTCTAACACAGGGGGAGGCATCCTGGAGTTAACGGCCCTTGCCTTCAAGGGCTGAGACTAGTGAGGCTGGAACTAGGGTTCCTAGGAGAGAAACGACTGTTATGAAAACATCTCCCAGCTGCCTCCCAATGCTGTCAAGAGACTGGCTGTGCATCCATGGCCTTGGAAAAGACAGGAAGAAAAAGATGAGTTTACACACTCTTAAAAAAAAAAGATTTTTTTATCCCACTTTTATTATTTTTATAAATAGCTCAAGGCGACAAACATATCTAATGCTCCTTCCTCCTATTTTCCCCACAACAACCACCTCGTGAGGTAACTTGGGCTGAGGGAGAGGGATTGGCCCAAAGTCACCCAGGCGGCTTTCATGCCTAAGGCCAGACTAGAACTCACCCTCTTCTGCTTTCTAGCCTGGTGCCTTCACCACCACCAAACTGGCTCTGAATTTAACCACTAGACCAAAATGAGGCTCTGAATTCCTTGCTGTGCTGTGGGCAACCAATTCTTGTATCAGAGACTTCATTCCTGTTCAGTTTCTAAAGTAGCTAGCTTGTGTCTTGCAGCAAATCCACACAACCTTGTCCCAGCATGAGGACAACCTACTTACTGTTTCCCAAGGATATGTCTGTATGTCTCTGCTTGTATCTCAGGGTCCTTCTGCTGCTGAAACAGCCCAAGGACAGGACAGCTTAAGGCACTACACTTTGGAACCGGTGTTTTTCCTAATCTCCTACCTCAACACACTACAACAGTGCACGTTGATGTGCATTGGGGAGGTGACCTGAAATGATGTGCTCCATAATGGCAAGCTTGTGGTTCCGGTTGGTTCTGCCAGTTTGCTGTAGGAGCACCCCTTCAGCCCCTGGCCTCTTGGTCCCTGACCCCTTCACCCACCCACAATCCTCTTTGGACAGCAAGGAAACCAGAATGCTGGCTTTTACAGCCACTTTTTTAAGGGTTTGGTCAAGCTAGACATCTATCTATCTGGTTGCTAGGTGTTGAAAACAACTTGATAGCACATAATCAATCAATCAATCAATCAACCAACCAACCAACCAACCAACCAACCAACCAACCAACCAACCAACCAACCTAGACAGCGCCTTGAAATTGACCAGCCCATAATGGCTTAACTAACTGGAAGTGTAATTGAAAGGCATTGTCTCTTGTACTTCTGGAGCCTGGCTGGCAGGGCGTTCCTTTCCCAGTGGCTGCTGCGCCTCATATAACGTCCTTAGGCTAGTTTATCACTCCCACATCAATTCCCACAACTCCTTTCTCAGACTGCAGCTCTTCAACAGCACTCATCCAGCAGCTACACAAATCCAGGTGACGGGAGATGCCAACCTAGGATGCAAAAAACTCTAACTCTTTGCTGCCACCTACTGGGCAGCAGGTCAAACAATCACCTGGTCTGCACATCATTTCAAGGAATTAAAAAAAACTGCAGACTAGAGCAACCAGAAAAATCTGCAGTAGCTGAACATGCTCTCAAGCACACTGG